GGGGGGGGGGGGGGGCGGTGCCCTCGGGCCGGCGTTTCGCACTCCCTTCCCCAGCTGCCCCCAAAGCGCCGCCACGCTCGCTTGGAGACGCCAAGGCGTCGGAGCGCCCTCCCGGGCTGCGCAGAGGACGCGCCGAGGCCCGGCGCAGGGCCTGCAGGCGTTTCAGGCGGGCTCTGACGCACGCGCACGCGCATGCGGCCGCGCTGCGCGCCGCGGTTCCTCTACCGCAGGCAAGCGGCTGATCAGCAGGACGCACGGCGCCGACGCGGCGATCGCGGACCCGCTGTCAGTCCCGCTGTACGTGGTGGAGGACATTGTCCGGCTGAGGGTGCACCAGGTGCGCTCGTGACTGCGTGCGTGCGCTTGCATGTGCGTGTGCATGTGTGTTCGTGTTTGTGTGTGTTCATGTGTGCACGCGTGCTAGCCTGCACGTCTCCTTGGGCGCCGTTGCCCTGGCGAGCCTTGCCCTGCGCGTGTCAGTGTGGCTGCAACCAATCAGTGCGAGGCTCTTGGCCTGATGGTGCAGGGTGCTTTGGTCTGCCGATGACGGTGAATCACCCTGCTCTCCCATGAGCACCCACTTGCAACCCAACCACCCTCACACCCTTCGCGTCCCCTGCAGCTCATCAACCGCAACTGGCGGCCCCTTGTTTGGCGCCTCTGCTCCCGTGCCACGCTGATGTGCGGCCTCATCAACCTCCTCAAGGCGGGCGCCAAGCGGCTGGCGCGCGGCAGGCCCAGGGCCGAGCGGATCGTGGCTTACGTTTGCGACACCCTGCTGCCTACGGAGTTCTACGGTGAGCCAGGGGCCGCGCGCCCCCGCCATGGTGTCGTCGACGGTCGCGCGCGGCACGCCAGGCAGCTCGCCCGGCGGCGGCGCGCCCGGGGCTGCTGGCTCGCCTGGCAACGTCCAGTGGGGCGAGGAACTGCTTGCGGGTGCCGTGCACAGGCGGATGCGCGCCTCTCAATGTGCTGGGCGCGTCCTTTGACCCCTCTTGGGTACACAGGGCCTGTGCTCGGGATCACCATGGTCGTCACACAGTCGGTGAACGAGCTCCTGGGGAAAGGATGACGCGCGCCGACGACGCTGACGGCGGGCCTGCGCGCCAGGCTACCGCCTGTGCCACCCGGGAGGCCGGCTTGCGCCCTTGCTGCGTTCGCTTGCTGGTTATGGGCGATTCCTATGAAGCGTGTTGGAAGTCTGGTGTGGCATCGGCACTCTACGCATTGTTCATGACTGTATTATTCTGCACACATGCGATGCAGCACGGGAGCGGCAGCCGTCAGGACACGGCGCCCGCTGCGCAAGGCACATACTGCTCTCACTTCCTGTTTGGCAGTCAACTCGCGTTGAGATTACACTAGGGTCCTGCGCGACCTTGCATCTTGAGGGCTGCAGGTTCTCCTCCCTGCGCCAATCACTGCCCATTGCAGCAAGTGCAACAGGCTCCCGTCGCTCGATGCACTTTGCGGCTGTGTATACACACATGCATCAAACGTGAGAACTTTTACATTGTATAACAACTCATCGGTCCGGCGGAAACGTCGTCTGCCTGCTACTGACCCTCGAGGCAACGGCAATATCTTCGCCGTGTGTGTGCTGTCGCTGGCGCGGGCGGTTGAAACGCATGCAACACCAACAAAGGACCCCAAGGTCGGCACATGCATGCAGCCCCCGCCCGCTGCAAGTTATTCTGTCGTCTCAATCTTCACCGCGAGTGCCAATCTGCAGTCGGTGCGCCCCGTGAGAACGGCGAGAGCTGCACCCCTGCTGCTCCCAAGCAATGTGCGTTGTATGCTCGCACTCACAACGCCAGAGGGACGCTGTACCAATGTAATTGATGATTCTTCTGCCACCAGCTGCTCGATTTATGCCAGCAAGTGCACGGGCACGAGTTAAGAGACAACGCTCACCAGCAGCACCATAATCACTCCCAGGGCTTTGCAAGTCAAACCGCTCAACAAGTATTGCAGGTAGCACTCGCCAGCTGATTGCGCCGTGGCATGCACAGCAATCAATCTTATTCCCATCTGCAGCAACAGAAACGGCGGCGACGGCAGCGGATGTGCGATGACAATGACGGCGGCATCAGCACCATTTGTCACACCCACATTTTCTCAAAGGCGGCATGATCTGGGTGCGAAGGGTGGTAGGCGAGCTTGTGGTTCGGCCCCAAGGGCTTCGTGCACTGAGGCTGCTGGTGCAGGGCCATCATGTCTTGGATGGGCCGGCAGAGGCCAGCGCACTCGTTGCGGACGATGCCGACACTGCGCAAAACCACACAGGTGTGAGGGTCGGGGC